TTTCACTTCCAGAGACAGTCATAAGCACTGTGTAACTGCCTCGAGGGTGCTTGACCATTTTAACACAACGTGGTGCGATCATCCCCCTTGCGCGGAGTGAGGATTCTCCACCCCGCACAACATGATCTACTCGACCACCATTATGGTTACCGCCAAAAAATAACAGAGGTAAAAAAAAAAAACGGTAACCTGGTTGCCGAGTTCACGAAGTGGACTGGCTTGTTTTACAACGTCGTTGCCAAGCGACGAAAACCCAACCCCGATGTCAAACACCGAGAGACCCGGCGAAGGGGGTAATGAATGAAAGCTTCCACCTCGCAGCGCGTTGATCGAAGGTTCTTAAATGCATGCAACTGAGCTTTTTTTCTTCCCGCCTTGTTGTCATATTCTCTCATAGGTGCCATGCGGTAGTGATATATATATATTTATTTTTTTTTCAGGTATTTTTTGTTGCATGGCAACACATTCGCTGTAGTTGATGAGCGCTGTTGGCGTTCATTGCCGGGATCATGTGATCAGGAGGTGTATCACATCCCCAGTTGTAACCCGGGCCCCGTAGCACGCGATTGTTACTTGCGGGCAGTGGTATCACACCCGCTACACGTGCGGCAGCAGGCACGGTCGGTAATTCGTTGTAGGCGCTAATACACCTCTTCGGCCCCTGGTGTGCGGCAGTGGTATCACATCCCCTTCATATTACACCCCTGGTTATCACACCCTCTGGGTATCACACCCCGTTGCTACCACACCCTTTGTCGGTTCCTGCGAGTGTGTGGCGGGGTATTACACCCCCTGGACATCCCCCCTTCATGGCTCCAACGGCCGCACATTATCACCCGGACTACATAAGATATCACACACCCCACATAATACATCATGTTTTTAATCGCCAAAATGTTATCGCCGGGGTGTGATTTCTTGTGTCGTATACGGTAAACATATCGATCAAGTTTCAAGGATTTCAAGCATTTAACCGCTGACCCTGGCGTCATCAAAGCGACCCAAATCACCCAAAAATATTTGTTCTAGTGAAACCAAGTCGCGTAAAACGCGCCTCCAGCGGGGCGCCTCCTGCGGGGCTCCCTCACCAGCCGGGGGGGGGCGGTTGTCGCGGCTGGGCCGCGACCACGCGGCGAAGCCGCGTTGCCAGTGTACTGATTATGTCCAGTAAACTGGCTCCGGCACGCAGCCAGTATTCGTGAGACTGGCGCTGCGCGCCATTGCCCAACCCTAGATTTGTTGTGTCATGAGAAATTAGTTGCTGAGGGGGCCCGCGGGGGGGGGTCTTCTACGCTGTTTGGAGGGGAAATTTGCGCGTGGATCGCTCGCTCGAGTACATTTGTGCGCGGGCGCCGACGAGAATCGGCGTTGCGTCCGACGACGTTGTGGGTTTCGTTTGCCCTCCCCCGGTTGATGAGGCGCAGTTGCTCGTGTCGGCATGTGGTCTTGTGCGTGAGGTCGGGGGGGGCGGGCGGGTACCTGAGTAAATAAAACTAGGAAAGAAGTCCCCGCCCTTTGTAGGCGAAAAGAGGGGATGCCAAGCCAGTGAGGACAAACACTTGTGTCTACTCCAGGTACCGACTGCCGTCCACAAAACATGCAGCTATCCTTTTTCACCTCCCCCGCTCCGCCCCTCCCGGTGTTTGCCATCGGGGTTGGGTTTTCGTCGCTTGGCAACGACGTTGTAAAACAAGCCAACCCCCCCGGTGTTTGCCATCGGGGTTGGGTTTTCGTCGCTTGGCAACGACGTTGTAAAACAAGCCAATTCACTTCGTGAACTCGGCAACCAGGTTACCGTTTTTTTTTTTTACCTTCGTTTTTTTTTTTGGCGGTAACCATAATGGTGGTCGAGTAGATCATGTTGTGCGGGGTGGAGAACCCTCACTCCGCGCAAGGGGGATGATCGCACCACGTTGTGTTGAAATGGTCAAGCACCCTCGAGGCAGTTACACAGTGCTTACAACTGTCTCTGGAAGTGAAAGCACCAGAAAATAAATTAATTCATACGCAGCTGTCATCCGTACGCAAGGAAGTAAGCACAAGATGCCGAACACCCTTAGCAGGATGCAGCGCACCCTTCATGCGACTCGCCGAATATCTCACGGCGCTTCGCGCTTGGTGATGTGAGAGCCTGGTCCGGTGAGAACCCGGCGTGCTCCGTCCCGGCTTTGTAGGGATGCGAGGTCAATGGTCTAACGACTACGGCATGCACGACTATGAGTACACCCCCCCCCGCTTCGCTGAACAGCAGCAGCCGTGTGCGGCGCGCTAGTGGAGGGGGTCCGGACGAGCTCTAGAGAGGAAATGCCCCTGGCTATGGCGTGCTTTCGGACGGTGTTCCCCGTGTACGTGCAGGCTTTGCCGGAGGCGGAGCGGGCGGCGGCCTTTGAACGCATCTTCGAGGTGTGTGCAAAGTATGTGTGTGTTTGATTTGCTGTTTTCAAACATTCTTCCAATATGCCATCCGACCAGGTCGTGGCGGGAAGTGGGGGGGCAGGTTAGTTCATGGTTGTTTGTTGAGTTTCAGGACGCCAGGATTTGCCGCAGAGGCGTTTCCCCTCAACTTACTCCTGAAGGTAGCATTCAACTCGGGGGCAAACAACTACTGCAGCATCTGTGGAGCCGGACGGAGAATGTTGTAGAGCACGATCTTAGTAGCTCTTGGGGTCTAAACTCTCTGCAATGGGGTCGGCCGTTGGCCTTTCTTGTGAGGTGTGCACCAAGGCGAAGGGAGGAAGGAACCAGCGGCTTTCAGCGGCAAGAGCGGGTTCCGTGGAGGAGATGATATGAGAGATGCAAACCAGCATTCATTCCTCATTCCGCAGAAGGTGTTCTACGTTCTAAGCAAACATGGAAACACGCATACGCTCTCTCTCTTATCTCCCTGGCGGCCTCGGCTGACGGGGTGGGAAGCCGGGGGCTAGCTAGTCGGTCCCGAAGGGGGGGGGG